TGGGCCGAGGGTGTTTGGGAGATTGGAAAAATATCGTTTGAAGTACATTTTTTTCCTTGTCTTTTATTGGTTTCCCACTTCATTAACAGTGTTAGAGCACCCAAAGACTCTTTATATCCTTCCTAATTGATAGGAATAGAGTGACTTTAGTGAAAAAATACCCTCCAACAACTTCTTTAATTGGTTATCTAAATATAGCTATCTATTTTATTCCGAATTTCTTGGTAGCAAAAGATAGAATACAAGAATGGCTCTCTGGAGTGCAAACAAGATATAGAAAAACTATTGGAGAATAAAAAGATATATAAAACGATTTTTATACGAATGGCTCTTCAAATGATGATTTAGATACCGAGCTTTAGAAAAACTCTTAGAGATGCTCTTATAGTCATTTGAAAATGGAGAATGCCTCATTTCGAAAAAATAATAAATCTAATGATATTTATTTGATATCATAATTATAATATTATTTGTATATAGTTAGTCACGCAAGATACTTTAATTTAGTACTTCTAGTTGTGTGGGTGTGGGCCCACCAATTGTACATGCAGCCTGTTCGCTGGTTAGTTTCTAGGCTGATTTGGTTAGCTGGTGCTGGTTTGTTGTGAGAGAAAAACAATATTGACTGGCTGATTTGGACTAGCTGAAACCAACAAGCGAACATACGATGGCATAGAATCCAATGTGTACAGTGAGGATGAGTAATTGCACTAATGCGAGCGTCCTGGACTCCTAGTGGGGTTTTCTCTCCTTCATGCATTTGATCTAGGTCGACTTCCAGCCTGCATTTAGAACGATATACCACATTGTTCCATTTCACGTTTGAGAATGAAGTTTCAAACATGGAATGATACCATGTTTCACAATGTTCCAAGGTGTTTAGCTCCGACTTCTGTGCCCCGTCGCGCAGGGCAGGACTCGGTGAGAACTCACTCGATCTCCTGATACTATTCACTCTGCATGCCTCTTTGGAAGGCAAGATATCCAAAACATAGGTATAAGAAAATATAGGATTGAAATTGCACGTCACTGACTACGGTTGCTAGACCAGTTGGTTAAGCCTCTAGGTGGCGTTCTCCGTGACTAGAGTTCAAATATTTGGTCAGGCAAATTTTTGGTCGGCGATGTGGAAAAAAAAAGCCTCGCCTGTCCCGCTTTTCAAAGCACAGGTAAAATGAACCAGCCCTCTCACATGGAGTTTTGAAATTGCATGTCACTTGCAATTATAGAATAGGAAACCCTGGAAAATATTCTAATGGAGCATTTGAATACATCCCAAGAGAAACACAAATTAAGGGTCTGTTTGGCAGGGCTCTGGCTTCTCTGAAAATGGCTTCAGCTCTGGCTCCTCTGAAGGAGCAGCTCCTCTGGAGGAGCTGAAGCCGTTCTGGAAAACGTTTGGCAAAACGGCTCCTTCGCACTAGACGACGTGAATCCACAGCAAGGAGCCGCGCGAAGCTCGTTTTTAAGGCTTCTCCTGCACAGGCAAAAAATGGCTCCGGCTCTTGACCGGCTCCCCATGCGAAGCCCTTTCCAAAACAGACGTTTGGCACAGCTCCTGCAGGAGCCGGAGCTGAAGCCCCTGCAGGAGCCCTGCTAAAGAGGCTCTAAAAGAGAGAAATAAACACAAAGCAAAAGGAGCTTGTACCTCATGCTAGACTTCCTCCAAAACTCCTATGAATCAAGCCATTCCATACAAAAAATAGAATTTTAGAATCGTCATCCACCCTATTTGCTCCAAAGGCAGCAAGACAAGTGCAAGTGTATTTAGTGCGGTGCATCACCGTTGCCACGCGAGCTTATGTAGTAAATGGGCTGGTGGCTGGTGCATGTGGCTTGCGCATTCGGCATCCGCTTTGCCTCGACCTCGAGCCTGTCTGCTGCCAAACCAAATGACACCTGTTCTACCTATGGCTACAGACCTACTAATACGAATACTAATACTACAGTGCGAGTGTGTCGGCGACTGACGGCCATTATTTCTGATTGAGGACCGGCAACCATGCCTGTCAGGCTGTCACGGCATCAATGCCAAACACGAGTTGGCCCAGAGTGCTGGCCGCGTCCGCACTCAGCATCTGTACACCGGAGTTCTAGTTCCTCACTCCATCAAAAAGTTGATAACACTAGTTGTGGCTCCTCAGTGGTACTGTACACTTGTACAGGTCTAGATTTCAAAGCTAACTAGTACCACTATGCATAAAGAGCAGAAAGCTCGGCCTCATTGACAACAAAAATCTGTCAAAATACAGCATATTTTTTTTCGAAAACCCCAAAATACAGCATATGGAACAGGAGTACCACCTAGCTAAACACTGGGCCTAAACCCTAAACTCCTACTCTCCTAGCTACATGGCACGTGACACTGTTACACGTTGAATGTTAGTACAGCTGTACTGGCGATAACATTTTTTTTTCTTTGAGATGTACTTACTGGTGATAGTTGTTGATGTCTTCATGAGCAACGAAATTAGTAGACGTTACGCGGGCAATTCAATTTGTCACGAGTGAGGACCACAATCCACAAGGCACCGTACTGGTACTTGGGGAGGCCAGAGAAGCACGCAGCAGCAAGCCAGCAACCAAAGTATCAGATTCAGAACAGACTGACTACAACAAGGCCATTCTCTGCTGCTGCTGGAGCCACTCCTGGTCCAGGATGGTTGGATGGCAGAACGAAGCGCCTTGTTGAATCGTTCATGAGCTCCTGAAAACATGCACACGAGCAGTGGCTATTCGTCAGACCAAGCTATGATCACGTGTTACTCGAGTTTCACAGAGTAACAAAGCAAATGGCACATTCTGCTCAGGTTTCAGTTTCTTCAGTGCTAAAATTCACTGCTCACGAACAGAAAATAAAATAAAAGAACGTGTCTGACAATAGTGAAAAAATATCGGTTTTTATATCCACCTGAAATACTTAGCAAATGAAGCATGACGGTTTTTTTGCAGATTCCATCAAACGCCGATCGAGGAGAGGGCGGTGAAGATGATAATGTTGCTGTTGCGCCCTGAAATAAGAAAGATGAGGACGGCACCTCCGGCTCAGCTCCGTGCAAGTGCAGCTGAGACCAAGGCGTGCTAACTCGTGGCTGGACGTGCATCAGGCCACTCTCCTGATGAGATACTCCAGCAACTATCTGAGTTCAGGTCGCCTTTCCCTTTCTCCATCGCATCGCATCGCATCCTCCCCCACAATCTTCTTTCTTTATACCATCAGGTGGCTTTCCTGTCAAAAGAGACCAACATCGGAGCTCTCCAGTGGCAAGGAAGAATTCCGGGTCCATGCATGCATGCACAAGGGGATTCCCGCTGTATCATTGGTGCTGGACTGGACCAGGAGGGCAGGAGGGGAGAGATACCCAAGTCACTATAAGCTTACTGATTAAGTTTGCATCCAGAAGGATGTTGACAGGCTTGAGATTTCCATGAACAGCTGGGTGATTCAATCTTGTTCTTGTGCAGAAAGATCTGCAATAATTCCGTCGCGAATTTTCCAGGGAAGAATCCGCCTCGCCTCTTTTCTGCACACACAAGAAATTCTTCGAGGCTTCCTCCGTTTGGTACGAACTCAGACACAAGCAAAGACGACTCTGAGCATGCTCAAACAGAGTTACAGGGTGAGGGTACCTCACTCTTCTCAGAATAGCAGCCTGAAACATGAATACAAAACAACCATTTCATCATTCATATGGTGAAAAGACGACTTATTCGAACAGCTATGTGCGGTAGAAGTATGCATGTCCCATTGCAAATGCATGATACGCAGGGGTAGCACAAATGGAAGAACTGATTGTCCAACACTAGTTGGGATGGTTTGGAGGCACCGGTGCACAGCAAAAGGCGACAGTAAAGAGAGGCAGTGGTCGGTTGAACTTGACATGGAAGACAGTCAAAAGGTTTTGTCCTTGGATTTGGATATCAGCACGTGGAATGGAAATCTGCAGTCCATGTGCCAAAACTATGAACTAGGATTTTTTTTATATTATTACTACTCTTCTAATTTACATAACTTCTTCATTTTTGTTGATGGCTCATGTTCCTTTCCATATCTAGCCTGCCCCAACTTGCTAGCGATCAACTACCTTTTCTAGTTTGATATAGAATGAGTTGAGTGGGCTACGTCTTGCTTGAACTGTCAGGTTTCAACACCTTTGTTGCAACAGTTATGTTCCCCAGGATACCTCTGTATACACATCTAAACCCACTTTCTCCTATCTTTAGAGAAGTGCTGAAATTTTAGTAGCATACTCCCGTTCAGATAATGAAAACTCACAATGCATTGATTTAACCAAAGCTGAAAGCATCTGGCCTCTTTTCTGACATAACTCTTCAACCTCAAGGAGGGCACGGTCCCTCTCATGTAGCACCTGGCCACGATCAGATAGAACTTGGAAGCCAGTCATATTGTCCTCTGGAGTCAGAGAGCTGATCTTGTAGATATTGGGAGAGTTGTTACAGCAGTACCGGTAAATAATCAATCATGTGATGTATCCGGGTTCAACCGTGCAAACTGAAATTAGTTGGTCTGCTAAAATATATAACTTTATACATGTTCCTAAGTTCCTTGAAGGTGTTTGACATCATCATCAAGCCAAGTGTCTGTTGGCAGCTAACTTCGGCAATATCGGGACACTTGTCGATCGACAAGTCTGTAAGCTGAACTGGCGCTGCCTTCGATCAATGAAGTTGTAGGTAGGGTACTCTACCACCGAATTGTTCGGGGAAAAAGAAGCTCCACTACGGGACGGCATTTGAAGCTTGATCCGTTCAGCCTGGCAGCCGGTGCTGCTGATGCACCTGCAGCTGTGGAGCGTACAACACGGGTGAGAGCCTGAGGAGTCAAGTAAATCCGGTGGAGGACCTTCAGTCTGTACATGAAGCTGCTATTTCCTCTTCTACGCTTGCTAAACAGGGCATGCAGGCTTTGACAGGCATCAGTTTGCTAACAACACTAGCTACATTACGACGGTTACATGGTAGATGGTACACTGTTACAGCTAGTTAAATCTTGGCTGTACGGGGGCCAGCAGTTGATGAGCAACTAATAGTGGAGTAATTCGACTCGTGTGTAGTGGTGGAGAAGCACGCAACAATGCAACAGGGAACAACAGACTACAAGGCCGTATTCTGCTGCTGGAGCCATTCCTGGATGGCAGAGCGAAGCGCCGATTGGGAATGAGCTCGTCGTGTTCTAGTCGCATGTTGGTCATTGGAGATGTGTCATGGCCACTGTCGAGCCAGCTCCTGATGGCCTCGGCTTCGTAGGTGAATCCATCAGCTGCGATATGTGGATCGTCCATGACATCCTGAGACAAGACAACAGAAATAATGGTTAGGGATCAGGGGACAAAATGTTCATGTATTCCTTGTATTTTCACAAAAGAACAAAAGGCAGATGACACATTGAGTTTAATATTCGATTCTTCTGTGCTACAATTGATTCATTGTTGAGTCAAAAATTGGGGAAATCTAGATGAAGGTGCAAAACGTCCCTGGTGTACTCACCTGAGATATAGGGCAAATGAAATATGACGGCGTGCTGTTTTCATCTGACACTGATCTAGAAGATGAGGCTGAAGGTATTGTTGCAGCATCCCTCATTGCCTCAACCACTGTCCACACCACGGCTGAAAGATCAGGACGCCGCTTCCGGCTCAGTTCCGTGCAACTGAGAGCAAGGAGTGCTAACTGCTGGACGTGCACATAAGGCCACTCTCCTGCCGAGGTATCAACTACTGAGTTCAGGTCACCTTTCTCCATGGCATCCTCCACAATCTTCTTTATACCATCAGGAGGCTTTCCGGTCAAAAGGCGCAAGACCACAATCCCAAAAGAATAGATATCGGACTGACATGTCAGCTCTCCAGTGGCAAAAAATTCTGGGTCCATGTACTGACGGGTTCCCATAGGATGCATGGTGTGATACATGGTAGTGTTGTTGGTGCTGGACTGGATCAGGTGGCGAGAGATACCAAAGTCACTAAGCTTACTGACCAAATTAACATCAAGAAGGATGTTGGCAGGCTTCAGATCTCCATGAACAACTGGGTGCGGCTTATTCTTGTGGAGAAAGGTCAGTGCTGAACAGATCTCAGAAATTATCCGCACGCGAATTTGCCATGATAGAGTCTGCCTTTTTTCTGCACACATGAGAAAATCTTCAAGGCTTCCATTTGGTAAGAACTCGTATACAAGTGTAGATATCTCCGAGCAAGCTCCTAACAGGGTTACAAGGTGAGGGTGCCTCACTCTACTCAGGATAGAAACCTGCAGCAGGAATCCAAAAAGCTATACATCATTTCATTCATGGGCAAATGTCTTTTCAAAGATTATTTTTAAAAAAAAATAGTTTCAGCGTAAGCTTCAAAGGAGCTACAGACCAAGCAACTTTTTAGTTGACAAAGACAAAGTTGGATTTCAGAATGGGTCGAGTTGGCCTACCTCTTGCTCGAACTGTGATTGCCCTGTAAACCATCAGGTTTCAACACCTTTATTGCAACCGCCATGTTCCGGAGGGTACCTTTGTACACACAACCAAAACCACCTTCTCCAATCTTAAGCGAAACTACTGAAATTGTCAGTAGCATGCTCCAGTTCAGACAATGAAAACTCACAGTGCATTGCTGTAACCAACACCGAAAGCATCTGGCCTCTTTTCTGACGCAACTCTTGAACCTCACGGACAGCATGATTCCTCTCGTAGCAGCAGCGATCATGCTCTGATAGAATCCGTTCATATTGTCCTCTGGATTCAGAGAGCTGACCTTGCAGATGCTCATTATCCATGTTTGCCTTCAGAAGTTTCTCCATAACCTCATCATGTTGTTTCTTAAGTCGTTCCGACTCTTGCTGTACTCCTGAAAGATATTCCTCCATTGTTCTAGCCTGCAGATTTTTTTAAAAAAAATGGTCATTCATTCATATTATTAAGATAAGATCAACAGCCAGCAATCTTTGTCAAGATAACCTGCTAATATGTTGGGTTTTTTTGGATAAAAATACATTCATAAGACTGCCATAGCAATTCAACTGCAAATACAGTGGCAGTGCTCTGTTCCAAGCTTGCCCACTGCTTGGAGAAAGAGCACCGTAGAATGCCTTTGTTCTGTATTCCACATGAGAAAAAAAATTTCTCAAACATTGCAGGATAGCTACACATCATTGCATTATATAAGAGCACTAAAGCCACCCGCCAGCCATCATACAGCACTAGCACTATTGCAAAAAGAAAAAAGAAAAATACACACAACCCTAAACCCTCTACATGATAATACTATTGGGAAAATAAATGAAAGGATGATGATATTTAACCTCTGATCCAGAGTATATTTTTCTCAGATATGCAGGAGCTGCGTATCTTTTATATTAAGAAGGAAAAAAGGGGTACAAGAAAACCCAAAACAGCAAAGATAACACCTGTACACACCCGACACACAAGGGCACAACAAACCCACACAAACTAACAAACAAATACTCCCAAACACACACAGAGACAACAAACCCACAAATACTCTAACCCAGAGTATAACTTTTAGCCACAAAAAAATAATTACAATGATAATAGCTTCAAGTGAATCATAGCGAAAAAGGTTACCATTCGTTCAGATTCAATACGCTTCAAACGCTAAATCAGAAGCTTCCTTCTTGAGTATTGTAGCTTGTTCTGTTGCTTTTCGAAATTTAAGCAGGTCATTTTCTGATTGGAAATTTCCCTGAAAGGACCATTAAAATACTAGCATTTAGTATAGTGCAATTTAATTGGAAAATTGCATCCTTCCTAAAAACAGCTTTCACTTTAACTCCATAAGTGAATGTTGCCCCTCGGCTACTCTTTGTAGACCTACTTGAGCTTAGGGCATGGTGGAGTCAAGGTAAGGGCATGATAGAACCAATTGTGTATTAAAACACAGTGCCATGCAACCACCATTTGTGCATCAGTTATACATAAGCTCGAGCAGATCAGAAACAGATAAATAGAAGAAAGTATGTGGATGGGGGTGGGTGTGTGAAAATACAAGTGACAAGGTACAGCTTTATGATCCCAATAAAGCCTGTTTATGGTTTTTAAGTGCTCCTTCTTAAGTTGCACATTGCTAGTAAAAGTACAGTTTCTGTGTTACCCAAAGTGTGTTGCACTAAGGATTACTAGCCACAGTAAACCAGACAAGCAAAACATGCTGTATGCAAGAATAATACAAAACAAGCAATCATGGAAATGGAAGACTATTCTGAAGAGAGGAACTAGACTTACCAACATCTCTTTCAAGTCCTCAAGCTCAACATCACCCCCATTAGCCCTCTTAATGCATGCTGCACATCTAATTCAACCAAACACAATGTCAATTTAGATTATGTCATGATTCAAGAAGGGCAGAAGGGAACTGCAAAGCTACCTTCTTAAACCATCAAAAACTTCCAGATTATTTGGGTCACAGCTCAAACCCTCTAGGTAAGTTGCCATAGCATTTTCATAATTTTCCATCAGGAACTGAACTTTAGCTTTACGCACATAGCCCTTTAGAAAAGTTGGATCCAGTTCAACACATTTCTGTGCATCCTCAAGACCTTGAGGTAAAGCTCCCAGATAGATGTGGCATTGAGCTCTGTTGCTAAATGCCTGAAAGATCAGTCATAGATCACAAAATTAATTGCTACAACCAGGACTGCCAAAGAAAAAGGGGCCAGCTCCAGAACATGCCTTTGGGTTCATTTTCAATGCCAAATATGACTGATTATAGATGACGTTTTAGTTTTTACCAAGGTAAATCTAATTTATCAGAAAAGTTTTTAATCTCAGAAAAAGTACTAGATTACTAAGGATCTGGAGTTACTGTTTCTTGAGAAGAAAATCAGGGGAATGATCAATATGCTTACTTTTGGATCCTTTGGGTTCATTTTCGTAGCTCGTGTGTAGTGTATTGCTGCTTCATGGTATTGCTTCTGCTTGAACAATTCGTTGCCTGCAGTGTTTGTACACAGTAAGCAGCAGTATATCGCAATGGCATATAACTATTTAGGAATTGGATATCTGATGATTGAAAAACACAGATTACTAGGAGAAGCATCTACTCGTCCCTTTCTTTTGTGCTCTGTCCTTCATTCACATGGGAAGTGGTAACCCGCAGAGTAGCAAAGTTCTAGAGGCCTAATCCACACAAAAGTAAATGGAACTTTCTGAGAGTATTTATTGTCGCCCCAAAATCTGTGTTTCCTTTGTGATTGATAAACAAATGCAGTCCACCAACATTATCCTATTGTACATTTCATTAAACAAATCAACAATGCCTTAATCGAGCAACATCCAAACCTTTCTCGCGGTGTTGGTCGGCCGTCTCCTGATCCAATCGCTCCTGCTCCTCAAGCTCCTTCTTAACTATCACCGCCTTGTTGAGCTTCTCGTGCGTCTCCTCACTGTAATGCTCGGTGAGCGACTGCTCCAGGGCCCTGATCGCCGGTGCGTAATCTCCGGAGCAGGACGCGAGCTCGAGCAGCGCCGACGCCTTCCGCAACAGCGCCTTCGCGACCAGCTTGTTGTCGGCGCTGAGGTCCCTGCCGCGCTTCACCGCCTCGTCGCAGTCCCTCACGCACTCCTTATACTGAAAATGCCCCAAATCGTCAGTCGCCGCGTCACTTGCGAGGGTATGGATTATGGAAAGGGGGGTGGGGGTGAGGGTGGGGGAGAGACCTTGCCCAAGCGGAAGTAGGCGGCGGCGCGGTTAGTAAGGAAGGAGATGTCTCTGGGGTCGAGGAGCGCGCCGCGGGTGTAGTGCTCGACGGCCGTCTCGAGGAAGGACTTGCGGTAGGCGTCGTTGCCGGCCTCCTTGGCGCACCGCGCCTCCTCCGCCCGCTCGTCCGCCTCCATGGCGTGACTGACTCCCCAACAGATGGCCGATGCGGTGGCGCTACGGCGACTGCGAGCGTATTTGGTCTTCGCCCGCGGGCCGCGGCTTGGGGTGGCGGATGGCGGGCTTGCGGCTGCCGGTGGTGGCGACTATGGGGGGACGACTTGACGAGAGTTCGGCCGGCGCAAGTGGAGCATCTCTCACTCCTTTGTGTTTTGTGCAGCGGTTTGGTTTCCGTCTCTGCCAAGTAGGACACCAGGATTGAAGGTGGGCCCCGCCTTATAGTGCGCTGCCAGTCTGCCACTCCCACGAACCCACGAGGGCCACCGGCCTCTGGGTTCAATCACTGCAGTTGAGGAAGAATTTGATTTTTTTTTAAAAACTACCTGTTCGTGCGTTGTTACGGGACAACTAAACTTTTATATTAAAAACGCATGGATCGTACGATAAAATAACAGTACAAATCAAACATTCGAAAGAAAATATATGCATCGGTAACAAATCGTATAGTGCTCGTGCTAACGCCACAGCGGCATTTCCGATATGCTTATGAAAACAACCAAACGAAGACACAAGAGACGAAGGGGCACGGGTGATTAAGGAATTAAAAATAATAACAACCGACAAGGAATCAAACATGAGCAGATTATGTCAATTTTTACTGAAAATCAAACATTAGCCGACTATTACTAAAGAAATAGAGTACCAATGCATTCTTTTAGTGGAACTGTGCATTTGAAGGAGATAAAAAGAAGTATCCATCTCATATATGGTTGAGAGATAAAGCTCTAATAAAATAAATCCCACAGCCAAACCAAAATAGAATCAAAGCAATTCAAACATCTGTAAACAGGTACTAACGAGGATTCCAGTACATATTCCTTGTTAGTTTGGCCAAAAGTCTAGCTTTTAGCCGCCAGATACGCATACATCTTTTAACTCATCCATCTTTGATTATGAAAGCATACAGTATCTCAAAACACTTTCCAAGAAAAAAAACAGATCATGTGTCCCTCGCCCAAGATGTTGTTCTGGCTTTAGGCAGTGTTCGGCTGGCTGGCTGGCTGGCCAGCCACCTCACGAAATCATTGTTCACGTCCTGCCACAATAGTATTTTTCTCTCACAACAATGAGCCGGAACAGTATTTTTCGGTCCTGCCGAACAGGCTGTTAATTTCCTTGCTAGGAGGCTTAGAATATAAGGACCAACAGACAGCAGCAACCAAAGCGCTGCAAAAATGCTAAATCATAATTAACCTGGGGACTTAGAACTGAGTACATTGCTAATTGTGTGATTGCAAGACCATGGAGAATCATCTAGTATCCTAGAAAGATTGTTATGAACAGGGAGAGCCTAAGAGTGCCGAGCTGATTGGTGAAGCCCATAGCAAACAACCCTGGCTTCCTTGCCCTGATGGAGATTGAAGGTGTAAGGAGATCTCTCACACGATTTCAGCCACAGCCAAACAAGGTGTTCCTGAACTCCAATGACCTGTCGTGCAACCTCTAGTAACTGAATGGCCCCGTTCGCTTGGTGGAATTTGGAGGAACCTGGATGAATCTAAAGGAATTTGTAAGAGAAACCATCCGTGAACAGTAAAATTCCTCCGAGAACAGTACTTCCTCCATACCAGCCGAACGAGGCCAATGTGTCGAGCAAGAAGAAGAAATAATGTCAGCACTTTATCGTCTTGTTCTGAGTTACAGGGGAAGAGGCACAATCCTACCAGTGCAAGTTAATAACTGCAAGGGTGTATAGAACAAACAGAAACTGACACTTCCATATCTTGAGCAATAATTCAAAAAAAATACTCATGTAAGATATAACAACAAACAATTGAACATGTTACCCTAGTACTGTAAGGACAATAGTCCACAGACACTTCTGTCCAAAATCTCCTTTCATCCTGATATACTGATATGAAGCATTAGTGCCAAATGAAACTGTCGTCTTTATATTAGACAGTTACCAGTGTTATCTGCTAAAGATGAGCCTCTGGCCTATGTACAAAACATGTTATAAGGAAAACTGATAGCTAAATATGGAATGCATTATCCGGTCAACCCAGGTAGAGAATATGTAAACCTCCCTTGTTCTTCTCGATCCAAAATTCCTACTTAAATAACTGGTTTTAGTTAGACCATCGCAGATAAAAAGATACTCTCAGAATAAACATTATTGAAGGCATCAAACATCGAAAGACAAACATGTTTATCTGATCCTTCTTATTTTTTCAAATTATCATCTAAAGCATTCTGGTTGTTGGAAATTTCTAAAAACAAAATACCATCGTGCCGTCGTCGAACAGGGTGGGCCGGCAGAGGCACGCGTATATTAAGGAAAACACAAATGTTCGGACCAAAGACCTGCATGGAGAGATAGAGGGATCAACTTCTCGACTGAAACCAGGTGAAAGCATCATTTTTTTTCAAAGCACAAGAAAACAAACTCTGGGCTCTCTTTCATGATCCCGTAATCTTGAGTAGCTTTGACCGATCTTTCATATGTTTGCTTTATTGCATCCCTCTTCAATCCAACAGAAAAAAGAGAGAAACCAGAAGGCATCACAACTGGGAAGCAGAAGGGGGAAATGCCAATGGCAGCAGTCAGGAGCAGCAGAGTTTACTTGAATTTTATTCTCAAAATCCTCCACTGACAACTGCATCAAATTGAACTCTGGATTCAATTCAAGCTCTCCAAGTCTCAAGCTCTCTCTCTCTCTCTATATATATATATATATATATATATATAATTGTCATCAAAGTTGTGTCAAGTCTAGGTGCTCAGTTGAAAAGTGCAGTGATGATAGACATGAAAAATGGTGCTACAAAATTATTCTACTATCATCTGATATGTGAATGGATTTATGGAACTGTACAAATAAAGTCAGTTTCTGCAAGAACATACCAAACAATAAATTTAAAAAACAGAACACTCTATGCGGCCACATGGTTAGAAAAACTGAAAAATGTATAGTATATCGCCCATGCTAACACTACGGCGATATCTGGTAATACAAATTAAACCAAAAATATTTCAATTTGATAAAAATGGAATGGACATATCTGTTACAAAGGTTACCTGCTATTATTCTTAGCCCCCATGGACTCAAGACACGAATCACAAAACAAAGCAAATTTCTCACTGCGGAGTGTGCAAGATAAAGCAATTAAGCAAGCTGAGCAAGGTATGGATGAGGGGAGGAATAACAAACTTTTGCAGGCTTTGCATCTGAATGTTCTCTTCTGAGGTGCTAGGCCTTTTGCCTTCCGTATTGCAGACCGCAACATGTCTAATGTAGCATTTTGTGCCTTCCATATTGCAAACCGCAACATGTCTAATATAGCATTTGTCCATGCCCTCAATACATCATACAGACTATTTCCATTTTCTAGCAAAAAGTAGTCGGATGGGTGTTTTTTTTACTCCCAGCATGTACCTCAAAGTAGTAAGGTGAAACAACCTGCAACTCATGTTCCATTGGTTCAATCCTCAAAGCTCGGATAAATAGGTGGTGATTTGGGAGAAGAGGAGAAAACTCACTTTTCGGCCTTTGCATGAAGAGCATGAGCACAGTATGCCGATGGCTTTGATAACTCACCAGAGCACTGCTCGCTGAAATAAGATGAGAAATAGATCCCTGGTCAAAATTACAGTAAACACGATACTGACCACCGAATAAGACATGGGAAATGGTGCATGGTATGATATTTTGGCCTCCAAAACAACAAATAGAGATCACATCTCACGTTCACCATAATGCATCATGATTTTCTTTTTTTTTTGCCGAAAAGATAATACAGGTGCAGTAGGCCATGCTCATGTCACAGAGGTGCCGAAAAGACAATACAAGTGCACTATAGGCTCAATTGGGCTCCTGGATATGAACAGAATGGGAAGAATTAAAAGGGCATGCAATTCCATATCTCACAGATTAATAAATTTGTCAAAAACCCAACTCCATGGCAGTTCCGAGGGATAGATACACTAAACCTAATCTCCCTGCTCATTCTACACAAGAAACAATGCAAACAACTACTGCAATGGGCGGTGGCTTTCCATTCTTGGCTTATAAGCACACAGATTAAAAGATACAGCCACCATGTTTGAAGTAAAAATGCTATCACGGACAAGAAAACAAATCGGCAAAATTAAACAAGCACGTCCGCAGATGAATCGTCAGGAAATTAATAATTTGCCACGCTTGGAAATTAATAATTTGCCAAGCTTGGAATAATTTCCGGTGCGCGTGACCAGGTGGCGGAACCTGACACCCAGGGCGTCCAGCTCGTCGCGGGCGAGGTGCGCGTAGGAGGAGAGCTTCACGTCGAGGTCACCCTCCAGCTTGCGCACCTCACGCCGCAGCTCCTCCCACTCGGACTCCTGTAGTTCCAGCGCCACAGCCGCATCCGACGATGACGACATCATCTCCGGCTCCGGCACCGGCACCGATGAAGCGCGAGATCCAATCCGGCGAGGGGTCCGGGGTCGCTTGTGACGCGAAGAAGAAGCGGGGAAAGTGGGGAGTATCTCCGATCTGGATCCGGCCGCGGGGCCGTGCCGTCGTGGGGAGCTTTGGACTCGCAAGGAGGGTGGCAGCGGTCGGCGTCCACGGCCCGGCTTCTGGCGAGACGCACGGGCTGCGTCGCTGACGATGCTGGCGGTGGCGGCGGTGGCGGTGGCGCTGCCAGCCGCAGTGGGCGGACGATGGGGAGGCGGGCGGAGGAATCACAGGAGCGGTTTCCTTTTGTGCGGCATGGACTCACGGTGATCGCAGGGGAAGGCAGACCGAGGGAGCAACGGGTGCGGGATTGCAGGGGTGGGTAGACGGATGAACCAAAACAAATGTGGCACAAAAAAATGTCCATGTTTTATTCTTTTTAGTTGTAGGAGATCTTTTGAAGGATAAGAATTTGACTTTTTCAACATACTCCACTTGACCCACCTAGGATCAGTAGCCTGACTTATTCTGAAGGCCTTACGACGTACTCCGTACGTTAGTGTGTACAGTGGGAGAGCATATGTCCTTGAAAAAAAATTGTGCTCCTTGTCTACGTGCTTCTCCTTGTAGCACCGGACATTCGGACAACCAAGACCAAGCCTGTTGTTTTCGCTGAAAAGTTAAGTTGAAAAGTACCGTTCGCTGATTTGTTGTTAGAGAAAAACACTGTACCATGACTGATAGACGTCGTGGATTCTCGGACTCGCTAAAGAAAAGTCAAGGAAAGAATGTCTTTGTGACTTTGGATAAATTTTTAGGCTGTTTGTTCGCGATGGATGAATCAGATTTTATGCTAATATTACTACATTTTTCGAAGTCAGGTAACTGTTTAGAGAGACAAATTACTGTTCTTAAGTCACTTTGCCTCCACAAAGTCAGAGAAACTGCGCCGGGATCGTAGGGGCAGTAGCAGGCACAGGCTGGTGAGAGGAATCAAGTAAGGTAAATGACCTTCTTCAGTCTGTACCTGAATTGCAGCTACAGTCTTAGGAAAGACGCTGCTATTTTATCTTCTACGCTTGGTAAACACTAAACAGGGCATGAAGGCTTTGGCAAGCATCACCGCATCAGTACGTTAACTACACAGTTATAGCTAGTTAAATCCTGAAGCTGTACGGGCGCCAGCAGTCGATGAGCAACTAATTGTAGAATATAATTAGACTAGTGTCTGGGACCAACACTCTCTGGTAGAGAGGCACCCTACTGATGCCTGTGGTGGAGAAGCACGCTGCGATCCAACAGGGAACAACAGACTACAAGGCCGTATTCTGCTGCTGCAGCCATTCCTGGATGGCAGAACGAAGAGCACGATTGGGAATGAGCTTGTCGTGTTCTAGTCGCATGTTGGTCATTGGAGATGTGTCGTGGCCACTGTCGAGCCAGATCCTGATGGCTTCGGCTTCATAGGTGAACCCGTCAGCCGCGATATGTGGATCGCTCATGACATCCTAAAATAAGACCACACAAGTACTGGTTAGTCATTAGATAAAGCCTATATTCATGCACTGCTTATTTTTTTTCCAAAGACAAACAGATGACACATTCAGCTTAAATATTCAATGAAGGCCTAATAAATCCCTGTTATGCTCACCTGAGATATAGGGCAGATGAAATACAATGGAGTGCAGTTTTTATCAGACATTGATCTAGATGATGAGGCAGAAGGTATAGTCGCAGACGCAGCATCCCTCATGGCCAAAACCACTCTCCACACATCGCCCAAGAGATCAGGACGGCACCTCCGGCTCAGCTCCGTGCAACTAAGAGCAAGGTGAGCTAACTGTTGGACTTGCACATCAGGCCACTCTCCTGCTGAGGAATCAACTACTGAGTTCAGATCACCTTTCATCATCGCATCCTCCACAGTCTTCTGTATACCAACAGGAGGTTTCCCTGTCAAAAGGCGCAAGACCACAATCCCAAAAGAATACACATCGGATTGACATATCAGCTCTCCAGTGGCAAAAAATTCTGGGTCCATGTACAAGGGGGTTCCCATTGGATGCATGGTGCGATAAAGGGTAGTGTTATTGGTGCTGGACTGGATTAGGAGGCGACAGATACCAAAGTCACTAAGCTTACTGACTAAGTCAACATCAAGAAGGATGTTGGCTGGCTTCAGATCACCATGAACAACTGGGTGTGGCTTATTCGTGTGCAGAAAGATTAGTGCTGAACATATCTCAGAAATAATTCGGATGCGGATCTGCCACGGCAAAGTTTGCCTTTTATCTGCACAGACGAGAAAATCTTCAAGACTTCCATGGCCGGAGACGGTGAAGATCACAGCGGCTGGAGCATCCATGGGGCGCCGAGCTCCGGCTGCGAGTAGAGTAGACGACGACGAAGCACGGAACAGTTCAGGGGCAGCTCGGCGAAGCTTTTCCTTGGTACGGGTACGGCTTCCATTCGTCGCCTACGAAAATCGTGCGAGCGGCCGCCGGCCGGTGATGCAGAACGAGGCGGCGGCGTGTCAATTCAAGGGCGCACTGCACACGACGCCACGGTTGTTGTGGGGCAAGACGAATCAAAGCACACAGGCTCGACCTCTATAAAGTCGTAGGTCCTGATACGTGTTCGCCAGGAATCCGACGCAAGGGAGGGTTTGAATTCAGCTCGGTCGGCTTGTTGCTGCGGTGAACAAAGAACGAAGTTTACCAGTGTCGTGCTCGTGCATGCCTTCGGCTGGTGTCTGCACCTGGGCTGTGTCCAGCGGAGGTACAAGGAAAAGGAGAAAAAAAAAACATTTCTCTCAACAGGAAGTTGAGAACTATACTCAAAATATTTCTAATGGGCAAACAAAAACACCATCCAGTTACTATAGATAGAGAACATTAAAAAAAACTATGCTACAGTAGAATGCATCAAAACAACATATAGCTTGTGACTCATAATTTAGTTACAAAAATAATGCGTTTTCTGAACTAATAAATCCAAGCCATTTACTATGTTTTTTTTCTGAACAAATAAATCCAAGCCATTTACAATAGGTTTGCAAAAAAAATTAAAAACTTGAGAAAAATCTTTGCTTTATTTTTGTTTTAGCTCTCTCTCTCTCTCTCTCTCTTCTCTTCTCTCTCTCTCTCTCAGGCAGTGCTAGGCCCCTACGAAAAGAGAAAGAAAAAGGAAAAATATTACCGTAAGTCTAGCCAGTCAAAATAGCAGGGAATGCACTATCTCTTTTATCACCTATTTGATTTTTAATTTGATGCTTGTACCATTGGAATAATATAGCATTATATGGCTGGAATTTGTTATATTATTTCATAACATTTGCATGCCAATATTTTATTTTGTTTTTCTCTGTTGTTTGCTCTTATAGAAACAAGAATTGATTTTGGAAAGAGCGAATAGATACACAAGTTGTTGAAAAGGTGAGTGTTTAATTTATTTGACTCATTATTTCTGATGAGTACTTTATGAACATTTTGACATTGTTTATTACATATTTTAACAGGTTTGGGAAAAGATAGCACCAGGTCCGGACTATCAATTTGATGCCCCATATTCACTTCCTTTGCTTGCACCACGGCCGCTGCTCCTACATGGCAAGTGACAACATATTTGTTGTTGGATGTTTTTGTTTGCTCAATACTACTTCCAAACATAAGACACACAATCCTCTCATTTTCTTCAATGTACCAGCGCCTGTTTGTGGAGGGTTGAAATTAAAGTTGGAACATCTAATGTGCATTATGTTTGGGTTTCATGATTGGGTAGGAATTATATTTAGCACTACTTGGCCCCAAAAAGTAGCATAACTTAGAGTACATACTCCATCTATTCCAAATTGCAAGTCATTTTACCTTGTCCTAAGTCAAACTTATCTAGCTTTAATCAAGTTTATAAAAAAATGCACAAACATCTACAACATCAAATGAGATTCATTAGATACACCATGAATATATTTTTGATAGTGCATTTATTTGATATTGTAGATGTTGATATATTTCCTATATACTTGGTAAAAAAATAGACAAGTTTGACTTAGGAAAAAAAAACTATAATGACTTACAATTTAAAGCATAGGGAGCAATGTTCTGATGTTTGTACTTAATTTGCCCTGTAGGTGTTGAAGACCCTCATTGCTCAGTAGGTGGTTTCGAAGAAGCTATTTCAAGAGCCGCTAAGGTCTCTTCCTGTTTTTTTAATCACTTTAACTTTGATCCATAAATATGTAGTTTTTCAATAATCATCTAACACTATTGTAGTCTTAAACTGGGTGGAACCAAGGGGGTTGGTAAGGGCCATATGCCCCCCTCTAACAGCAAAACAATATTATTTTTTATTAACCTTGAACCATAAATATGTAGTTTTTCAATAATCATCTAGCACTATTGTAGTCTTAAACGGAATCCTAACTTCACCCTCGACGACGACACAGTGCAGTCGAAGCATTAGGACCATCAGCTGCGGATCGGACGATAGCTATGGCAAAGTGACATGGGCTGCACAAAGGCAAGGGCCCATCATAACCCACAGGTCCAGCCGAGAGCTTCCCATAGATAGAGAAAATCGTCGCCGCCGCCTTCTGCTCGAGCGCCGCGTCTACTGCCATGCCGTCGCCGTCCCCTCGCCAAGAGCTGCATCGTCGCCGCTCCCATGCAGAGCGTCACGCCGTTGCCGTCCTGGACGCTGCTGGGCTGCAGCGTTTCCACAATTCCACCTCGCCCACGTCTATGCCTTCTACCAGCGCGGAGCTCGACCTCGGCTAGCTACGTCTGCTGTCCCAGGAGCTTTTCCAATTTCTAATGCTCCAACTGCAGTCTGCAGAGCATGCCTGTAAAATACAATTTGCGCAAGAGCTAGCAAACTGTATAAATTGTGGTTGTATCTAAAGCTGCAAAATCATTCAAATTGTATAGATTGCCATTATGTTGTAAATTGTCATAGAATTGAGTAAAAAGTATTGCTGATTGTTACAAATTCAGAGATGCACAAATGTTATGGTGTTCTCTCTAAATCTAATCTAGTAGGTGTATATGACCTTATTGCTGGTCATATAAACTTTACAATTCCTGAATTTTACACTTCAACCATTGACCTAAAAGTTATTCTCCAAAACAATCTATGTTTCAGGAGGTAGAAGGCACTCATACAAATTTGCAAAAGAATATTCAGAATGCACCAAATATCCATACTATTACCATTCTGCAATAACTCGAACATTTGAATAGCATGGGACACGCTCCTGAACATTTGACACTGAAACGCAAGCACGTCAAGAATATCCATGGCGCATCCATGCAAGAAACCAGTTCCTGCTCGCAAGCCGGCAAGCCTAGCTCCCGTGTAGGCATGATCTACTTGCCGTGAGCCCACGGCCTGCTGCTCGCTATGTTCACGTCACACAGTGCGCACCAAGTTGAGCATTCAAAGCGGCTAGCACAGCCGTAGCACACTGCTTTATGGCGGCGGCGGCCTTGACGGCGGTGAGCATCGGTAGGGCGCCCTAGGTTGTCGTTGAGGTAACTTGCGGCCGCAACTCGACAAACTGTGGACAGCATGGGCTATAGTTGGGCGGACTAGGAGGTTGTGAACTGTCGGCCCCTCAATTTGAGAGTCGCGATTCCGTATTTATGCCAGATCACGTACAAGCACGCACTAATCACGGGGATGGTACACGATATATAATAAAAGGTTCCGAACTTTATTGATATCTAAAATAAGGTCTACAACAGTGGCCCAAGGGGCTTAGTCATAGGCTGCATAGCTAGCGGAAGGCTTCGGCCGTGAAACGACATTATTGGTGGTCTCTAAAGCGGGATTATAACACAACGAAACGGCACCTATTCCACAGGCAACTTGAGCGCGGACGAAATCCTAGCCTCGATGTCACATTCCTACGATCATATCTCCTTACAAGAAACCTAATCCTCATGGTACGCTTCATCTTCGAAGTCATAGTCTTCTTCTGTGCCGAGGTCAATGAGTCAACAACGGGTGAGTACATACGTACTCAACAAATCCCAACCATAAGGTGAAAATAAAAGTATAGTGGTAGTTATAATTACAGGTTGGGTCCTAGTGAAGTATTACCATTCCCACTAGTACCCGAGTTAGCATCAATTCTATTAACAGTTTCATTACACATAAAAGTATAGCTAATCATAATATCCCATCCTAGTATTTGCCCATTCCAAGGACGTGGCTATTCGAATAGATTTAATAAACTCTGCAGAGGTGTACAAATTTCTCCACACGATAGGTGCAACCTCATCCATGATCAGTGGACAAAATAGACCTAACGAGATCCCGTATTTGCTTGGAAGCTAACCTAGATTTCCATATAATCTCTACCACGGTTTCTCAGGGGTTGGAGACACAAAACCGGGAAGATACCAAATCCCCTCAAAACGTGATGATATCAAATCATCACAAAAGAAAACATGGCTCAAACACGGCCAAGGAAACAGTGGCTCGAACACGGCCTAAAAACCTAAAGCTTGACGTGAAAGATCACATAGCATCCACGCTAATTGGACACGGAAGAAAATCTATCCCCCGTATCGGCTCCTGATATTCCGCTGCCTACACCGGCCTCCTAGTAGACATTATACTTCTATCTAACGGAGTGTGGGATCAAGCCTACCCATATAGACATGTGACTGTACAAAAATATCTCACTAAGCGAGAGGGACTATGAACCGGTCCTTATGTGACCGAGGCGAGTATCTCCCACAAGAACCCTATCCAGGCATCCCTGCCATAATAAACTACCTCCATAGTTTACCACTACTCGCCCTATGTCAGGGTTTAGTTCAGGTTTAGCAAGTTTTAAGTTCCATTATTATCCCTAAATCTAATCATGGTGTGGAGCTCATAAAATAACAAGATAACCCTTTATCTTAATTATATCGCATTAACCGAGCTCATTTTCCAGGGTAATAATCTTATAGTCATGTTTTAGCATTATGGTGGTTTAAAGTAAGATGGTAGGGAGGGGAGTAGGACTTGCCTTCGTCGTTGTCACCTTCCGACATGTCTATGTAACTCGGGTTTTCGTCCTCCTGACGATTACCGTCGCCAGTCGAACGTATCGGTCTAATAAGACTACCGCTATCCGCAAAGAAAATGCACAAGCAAACAAAGAACTATATGGTGACACTAGGTGCACATGGTAGGGTTTGATTTTAGATGAATTTTAGAAATGGTTTCATGCGAAACAGAGTTATGGTTTTAAAGTTATGAATTTTAGAAGTTTATTCTATAGCTAATTAACTAGGTGGAATTTTATATGCATTTTATAGTGCATGAAAATGGGTGCAAACTACATGGTTAATTTTCTTAATGCATCTAATTTAT